TAATAGAGAGTGCTGTCTAAATAGAGAGAGATTCATAGAGGGGGAGCTTGTATTTGCTTATCTAGTGACCCATGAAGACCAACCTTATTTAAGTCATGGAGTAGAGGGCTGCAGTTTTTTCATGTTATGAAGCACTTTTCTGTCTTTTATTAACAAATAAAAACAACAATTCTATTTAAAATAATAAAAAATTACAATATATATTTTCATTTTCCTATATACACTACTTCCAGTATATCTCCCAACACAATGTCTGAAAAGCCTTCACAAAAGAAGAGAACAATCTTCTCAGAACATAGACGCCCCCTACTGGAGTATACATTTTAACACATCCCTGTAACTGAAACATGTTCCCTTTTATTTTTCACCTGAGTGTTCAGAAACTGTTAAACCATCATCTTGATTTCTCATTTCACTGGGGTATAAATATGAGGTGACACAGAGGACAAATTCCTTTCAATAATCAACATGGAGAAGATTATAGAACACATGAATGAAACAATATAAAAGTGTGGCAACCATCATAAATTAGATTTTGGCTATAAAAAACAGCTACACCTCTGAAAGTTCATTGTTTCAGCAGTTTAAAACAACCAGAGCTCTAGTGAATGTGCCTAGAACAGAAGATACAAGTGTATACTGCCACCACATGAAGCAAGGATGGGAAACGACTCACCCAAACTATAGGTAAACATCTCAATCAATCAATCAATATATATATATATATATATATATATATATATATATATTATATATATATATATATATATATAATATATATATATATATATATATATAAGTGTGTCAAAATCATCTATCATTACAGTTAAAACAACCAGAGATGTAGTAAGGATGGTTACAGATTCTCCTAAACCACAATTAGATGCCTCCACAACAAACCACATGGAAGGTGTGTCAAATTAAAGACTTACATTTCTTCTAAACACAAATGTCGATACCTTGAATTCATAAGGTGCTGCTGGATCTCTGAGTGGAGCTGAGTTCTATGATCAGATGAGACATCAGAGATTTCTGACAGCAAAGCCTTACGGTGAGTTTGCTGTAAAAAGAACAAAGGTTGTACATCACTAGACCAAATCCATCCACAGGTAAGTAAGGTGAAGGATCTGAATGCTCTGGGTGTATCTTCAAAGGTCCTGGTAACCTCGCAAAGATTAGGAGCATCATGGATTGTTTAAAGTATAAAAGATTTTAAATGAAAATGAAAACTAGGTCATGGTTGGATCTTCCAGCAGGACAACAATCCAAAATATAAGTCAACATCTACATACCAACTGTTTAGTGACCACTGGGACATGGACATCCCAGATTCCTGACCAAAACCCCATTAAAATCCTGTGGTATGAGCTGAGTAGGAGAGTTTAAAAGAGGACTGGAGAGGTTCTGTAATGAGGAGCAATCTCAGATTACTTGCTCTGTATTCTCCAATCTCATCAAGCTTTATAGGTGGCGACTGATGGCTATTATGTTCACAAAATGCAGGAAGGCCAATAACTGACACATGGTGTTGTTTACAAGTATGTTTTTTGATAAGCGTTGGTCTAAAGATGGCATGAACTATGTAGCTGACTGTCTAGGCAGTTGAAGGAGATCTTTCCAGTAATATGAACAATACTGCATTGAGATCATTAAGACTCTATTAAACTAGCCTGCTTTTTCAAAGAGTCTTGTAGTCCTACTGGACTACAAATGAAACACGAAATTAGTCACATCATCTTTCAGAGTGATATCCAATCGACTCATTCATATTGGATATCTTGTAAATATTACACTTAGCAAGTGCCAAATCCTACTGTACTGCTTATGCTGTGAATTTTTAGTGTGATACATTTTTAAGAAGATTTCACCAAAAAATTTCAGAAACTTTAAAGCATAATCAGATTTTTCAGTCATGAATAACAGTAATACTGGTAAGTTTCATTGATAAGTTTGAAGTTTATTTGTCATTTGCACAAAATGTCAGGACATTCATGCATTGAAATGCTTGTGGTGACGCTCAGGTAATCACTCTACAGCAGGGCAGCATTATATACATACTGTGGGTAGAAACTGTTCATTAGCTGGGTATTTCTAGCTGGTTATAAAGTGTTGTGGCTGATTGTTTTGTTCGCTCATCCTACTTAAATGAAACCTGGCTCTTACTAACACAGATGTTGATGAGTTTTTGTACAGAGCTCCCACTGAGCTGTGCTGCTGTGGCCGCCTTTGCACAGTAATAAACACTCGTATTTACACAGGTAACTCACACATATCCACCTCCAACCTTTCTCATCCCTCATTTCAGTGAAATACACCTCTCTCTACTGTCTTCATGTATTCTTTTATTCTCTTCTATTGTGAACTTCAAGTTTGTTCCTTTTTATATTTCACCTGAGTGGTCAGGAACTGTTAAGCCATCATCTGCGATTCCACGTTTCACTTGGGTATAAATATATGGTTCACGGAGCCAGTGTGTTTGGTTTTAGTACAGCTGCTCCATCAGATCCATCACTGTGGATATCGAGCGCAGTAATAAACAGCAGTGTCCTCTGCTCTCAGACTCTTGGCCTCTAAGAACTGTGTACTTGTAGAAACGTCCTCAGTCATTTTGAAGTGGGCTTTCATGGAATCTGAATATGTTGCTGAATTTGAGCCAGTGTTCATCAATCCAATCCATTCCAGAGCTTGTCCTGGTTTCTGTCTTATCCAGTGCAGGTAGTTGCTCGTCATGTCATACCCACTAATTTTACAGGAGATCTTCACAGCTTCTCCAGGTTTCTTCACTTCAGCAGCAGACTGGTCAAGTCGGATCTCAGCACTTATAACATCTAAAAAAATAAAGCATGTCACACTTAAAAACTATTCAAAGTGTATTAAAACATACTCTCATAGAAATGTTTTAGAAGTCTAACATACCTTGAATTAGTATCAGTATAAGAATGCAGTGCTGAGCAATACTAAACCCCATAATGAAACTCTTTGATGACAGACAGTTCACTGACTCAGTTCTGAAGTATGAGCACCAGATGAGTAATGAGCTGATTTTTATGTGGAGCCTAAAATGCAGATATAAATTTACATAAACACTCTTTGACCAATAGAGTTAGTTTTACTGAACTTTCATCCACTGCTAAATTTTGCTTGAATAAAGCTTGAGCTCAGTGATCTCCTCCTAGTGTTCAGAGTCAGTACTGCTGAAATGTCTTTCACTCCCACTGTTTTACAGCTGTGGATCCCAGTACCAGTGAAATTGTTCTATAGATGTGAACTGTATCTGTAGTAGTGAAGAATTTTTTTGTAATACTTTCTATAAAGCCTGTGTTTATAAATCTCATTCTAAATGTAATGAGATAAAAGTGTCAAGCATTTCAAATCTACAAACTGACTTGAAAAAGAGAGTCACACCTCTGAAAACTCCCACATCCATCATTACCACAGGTTAAAACAACCAGAGCTGTAGTGAACCTGCCTAGAGGAGAAGATGCAAGTGGACTTTACCCCACGTACAGTGAGGATGGTTACAGAGTCACAACAAAGCCTTATATTGTCTAAACACAAATGTAAATACCTGGAGTTCATTAGAAGCTGCTGAAACACTGACTAGATTGTTAGTCAGATGAGAAAACAGAGCTTTCTGACAACAAACATTTCCTCTTTCTGTTTTAAAATAGAAAGAAGAAATAGGCTGTTAGTAATTAAGCAATTGTACAAGGTAGAAATCTGTAGAAATGTTATTTTGTAGGTCTTTCATTAAGTATGTTGATACTGTGGCTTTATATAAAAGCAACAACAATGATTTAGGAATGATGCTTTGACTGCACTGTAACTCAAAGTGAAAAAAATCAAACAAAATAACCACAACATTGTGACTCATAATGAATTGAATTTATCTTTTCCAAAAAGGTTCATTTTTTAAACAGTAATGAAGCAGAAACGTCTGTTTGTCAAAGAAAAGCAAATCCAATACATAATTCATTTTAGCACATTTGCTCCATCAGCTGCATCACTGTGCATGTGCTTTAGTATTCCAACTGGTTGCTAGGGAGTTGCTAGGTGTTTGTTAGGTGGTCGCAAGGTTGTTATCAGGGTATAACAATATGGTTCCTCTTATAGTTGCTAGGAGATTCATAGGTGGTTACCAAGATTAGAAATACTAATTCCAGCATATTCAACAACACTGTCATAGAAATTGTCTCAAAACATCTTTAATGTGTGGAAACACATATGAAACAATTTTGATATTGATATATTTGATATAATTGATATATCCTATTCATACATTTGCTTCAGGTCTATTAACCACACTACTCTGAATATTTAAACAGTTGCCTACTCAACCTGACATCCCCCTCCAACCCTGCTCATCCCCTGTCTCTGTTCTTATGGCTGCCTTCTATCCAAATGATGAATGCTGAGTCCAAATTGCTTCATATTATGGTGATTAGATTTACTTTAAGTTTTTAACCCACTGGCCAATTTAGTTTAAATTACTGTAATAAGCTGTAATGTTAGTATATCTTCAAAAAACCAATTGCTAAACTTTATTTTATGCAGAGAAGAGATTTGATATGAAATTTGCATAACAGGTCAATGACATCAATACATTCAGCATTAGACAGTAGGCGCCCCCTACTGGAATATAAATGAAACCCTAGGACAGGGGTGCTCAATCCTGGTGCTGGAGATCTACCACCCTGAAGAGTTCAGATCCAGCACACCTGACCTTAATATTCAGATGCTCCTGAAGGCCTTGACTACCTGGATCAGGTGTGTTAGACTAGTGCTGGATCTAAACTCTGCAGGGTGGTAGATGATTTTTGGTTTGATTAAATTCTCTGAATTTGTTTCTGTAATTCTATAGTACAAAAATGCTTTGTATTTTTCTGGTTAATTTACATGCAGAAATTATTAAAATGACACAAGTAATTCAACAGAAAAGTTAAAAACTGGCATTGAAGTTTTGTCCCTGGGTTTTTGTAAGTCGTGTTCATTAGTTAGTGTCACTGTGTGTAACTTGCACAGTAATACACAGCTGTGTCTTCAGTCTGCAGATTCTGTCCTTGTAATGTTATTGTGTTGGTTCCAGTGTCTCTGGAGATGCTGAACTTGTTTTTCAGTTTATCGTTGTAATATGAGCTCCCACTGCTATGGATGTATCCTATGTACTCCAGAGCTTTTCCTGCAGGCTGACGGATCCAAGCTGTACTATAGCTTGTGACTGAATATGAAACCTTGCAGTCGATGGTCAGACTCTGGCCTGGACGGACCACCATGGAACCAGGCTGAGTCAGTTCAACACAGTGAACACCTGTAGATCAAAAATACAAAGTTATTAGATGTATCGTTTTGGACATAAACATAATTAAAATAGCATTTTAGCACTTTACTGAGTAACTCACAGGATGCAGCTGCCAGCAGGAGCAGTAGAGATGTAGAGAACATGGTTGGTGTTGAAGTTGGACCTGTGGGATCTTCTCTGTTCTCCACAGCTTTATAGAGAGTGTCTTCTAAATAGAGAGAGATTCAGGGAGGGAGGTTGGATTTGCTTGTCTGATGACCCATGAAGGCCAAACCTATTTAAGACACAGTCGAGGGTAGTCGTTTAATCGTTTAATGCAGTTCATGCTAGGAAGCACTTCACTGCATGATTTCAATAAATAAAAGCAACAATGCTTTATTTAAAATAAAGAAAACCACAATGTACATATTTCCATTTACACTATATACCGTAATTCCAGCATGTTTTCCAAAACAGTGTCAGAGAAACCTTCTCAGAACATCTTCAATGAGTGCAGCTAAATATGAAATTAAATTAATAATGGACACTCTGGGAGAGCACATTCATATGCTTTCTTCAGGTTTGTTAACCACCTTGTTCTAAATATTTAAACAGCTCACTCACACAGATCCACCTCCACCCCTTCTCATCCCTCATTTCAGTGAAATACACCTCTCTCTGTTGTCATCCATGTACAAGCAGAGAAGTGATTTTAGGAAAAATGTGCATAATAAACAATGAGGAGAACAAAGTCAGCACAGACATCAAAATTGTATTAGTGATTAGGCGCCCCCTACTGGAATTAAGCCATCATTTGATTTCCTATGGTATATTTGAAGTGTCACAGAGGCCAAATTCCATTTATTACATTCATCAACATGGGCAAGATTAGAGAACATATATATGATGATAAAAATAGCTACACCTCTGAAATTTCCCACGTTTATTATTAGGGCAGTTTAAAACAACCAGAGCTGTAGTGAACCTGCCTAGAAGGGGATGCAAGTGTATTTTGCCCCCAAGCACAGTTTAGATTATGGTTATAGAGTCTACCTATTTTAGACACTACCTCAAAGCTGACAAGTTTTATGGGAGGCATGACACAAGAAAGCCTTATTTTGTCTGAGCAAAAGAAAAAGCGCTGCTGAAAGTTTGACTGGAACAAAGTAGAAAAAGATATAGACATTTTAAGCTATTTTGTAGTTTTAAGAGTGTAAAATGAGTTTGTGTGTTTTTTTAAAGCAAAGCAATGATAGTTTTAATGAACGTTAATAATAGCTCAGTACAAAAAAAAAAAATTATTTGTATCTCAAAGTAGTCAAAAAAGAAAAAAGAAAACAATCTCTGCATGGCAATGACTTGATTTTATATATTCAAAGAGAGCCCAGTTTTAAAACTGCATATGTTGCTGAATTTACACCAGTGTTCATCAATCCAATCCATTCCAGAGTTTTCCCTGGTTTCTGTCTTATCCAGGGAATGTTGTATCTTGTCATGCTGTACCCACTAATTCTACAGGAGATCTTCACAGCTTCTCCAGGTTTCTTCACCTCAGCAGAAGACTTTACAAGTCAGATCTCAGCACTGATAATATCTAAAAAAGAAAAACTACCACGCTCACCCACTGAACAATCCTAAACCCTATAATAAAACTCTTTGATGGCTGACAGTTTACTAATTCAGTTCTGGAGTATAATGTAATGTGAGCATTAGGTGAGAAATGATCTGATTATTATTTGGAGCCTGTAATGAATATATACATTTAAATAAACACTCTTTGATCAATAGAGGTAGTTAAGTAAAATCATCCATTGCTATATTTTGCATGAATAAAGGTTGAGCTCAGTGATCTCCCCCTAGTGTTCAGAGACAGTACTGCTGAAATGTCTTTCAGTGGATCCCAGTCCCATTGGAATGTCACCATGTTCTACAATAGTGAATCATATCTGTAGTAGTAAACAATATTTCAAGCATTTGTAAAATTTGCATCCTAAACAGAAGACATTACACAGTACTGTGCAAAGGCACTTTAAAGATTGTATTTAAAGAGGTATTTATGTGTTCAGCATGCATGTATTTACTCAAACACCTCTGGAATAATAAATAAAGGTTTCAAGTTGTTCCAGAGTTCACCTCCCTCTGTTTATCCTGTGCTCTAGTTTTAGTACAGCTGTCTGTATGAGTTCCACCACAGTGAGTCTCTGGCACAGTAATACACTGCAGTGTCTTCAGGCTTCAGTTGACTCATGTGCAGGTAGAGATTAGAGCTGTCCTTGGATGCTGTGAATCTGCCCTGAACTGACTGGGCTGAGCTTTTGTCACTTTCATCATAATAGTAAATAATCCATTCCAGTCCTTTTCCAGGAGCCTGTCGGATCCAGTGCATGTTAGCACCCCCGACACTGAATCCACTGCCTGCACAGGTCAGTTTCTGGGATACACCTGGAGCCACTGTTACTGACCCCTCAGACTGTGTGAGAACAACCTGAGAGTGGACACCTAAACAGAGACACAAAGACACAGCAGGTTAAATGTGGTTGGTCAGTTTACTGCATTAATATGGTTCCTCATTGAGAGAGATAACAGACTCACATCCTGCAATCAGCAGCAGCAGTAAAGACGTGAGGAACATGGTGTTTGTGGAGCTGGAGCTGATCAGAGACACCAGAAACCTGGAGATCCTCTACAAACTGTCCTTCATTCACTCTACATATAGAGGAGTTTGATGAAGAGTTTGCATAACAGTTCAGTGATGTGAGACTCTGCTGCTCTGGCTTTAGGAGAACAATAGACAGGTCTGCTTTTTTGAATAAAGGGTGCCCTCTACTGGAATATCAATAAAACATGAGAGAATTCATTTCACATTGATATTTAGTCTGTTTGTTGGAGATGCCCTGAACATTCATTCAATAAGTGACAATGAATTCAGATCTTACTGTAATGTTATATGTCTTATTTTCCTTTAGTCTCCTCAGAAATATGAACTTTAGTCACTCGGTGAGAAATTTGTGAGGCAGCTAAAGTGAGCTGGACAGAATAGCTTGTGTAACTGTTAGTGTCTCTTTTACGGAGAATATAATGTCGGTGAGATCTCTGGGAGCAGCTTCTGTTGGGCAGTACCTGCTGCAACTGGCTGGTTTTAAGATTGGAATGATGGAAGAGTGGCTGTAGGTGCACAAAAGTTAAGAGTGGACAAAGTAATGATGATATATTTGATATTATACTGGTTGTTGTGTAATTTAATGTTATATATATATGTTTTCCTGTTTTGGTGCTGACAAATAAATAATTTGTATTTAATAGCTGCCTCAACTTGAAATTAAATATACAAAAGTCCACAGAGAAAATGTTTATTGTTTTTTCAGGGGCAAAACTTGGGACGGTACGTGAAATGCAAGATAAGGATCTTTGAAGGAAACTCCAGAGTCCATAGATCCTCCACCCCAAATGATCCATCCTGATCTTTCCCTGGTCTCTGATCCAGGCTGTGCCATCATCAGTGAGGACATTGCCGGAAACCTCACAATACAACATGTAGGGTAACGTGGGGGTAGAAACCCCCAGGAAAATATGCCCCTCCCACCATTTTCTCTCAAATTGTTTTCATATTTGTTGTCAGCACAATACAGTTCATTCTTGACCTGGCAGTGGGGCAAGAAGCCCTTTTTGAGGATTCTAATTTTGAGTGCATTGAAAATAAAATGGTTTGTTCTTTGAGTTTATTTCCTACGAGAGTGAAAAGGTTTATGCATCATCATTCTGCGCATGATAAACTCAAGCAAGCATATTATTTACTTTTACAGTTAAAGGGCATTAAGACATTTCCCCCATTTCCCCCACTTCATATAGAGATAATTCATCTACGAACTTAATGTTAGCAAAAGATTGTGTCAGTCAAATTGCCCTAAATTTCATGAAATGATGAACACTTTTTTTTATTGAAAGTTAAATATGACACAAGCTACTTTTTTAATGACCCATTCAAATAGAACAGTATAAAACTTTTACTTAAATGTCAGCTCTGGGTTTTTGTAAGTCGTGTTCATTAGTTAGTGTCACTGTGAGGCTCTTGCACAGTAATACACAGCTGTGTCTTCAGTCTGCAGATTCTGTCCTTGTAATGTTATTGTGTTGGTTCCAGTGTCTCTGGAGATGCTGAACTTGGTTTTCAGTTTATCACTGTAATATGTGCTCCCACTATAAATTATATATCCAATGTACTCCAGAGCTTTTCCTGCAGGCTGTCTGATCCAAGCTGTATTATCGCCAGTAACTGAATATGAAACCTTGCAGTCGATGGTCAGTCTCTGGTCTGGACGGACCACCATGGAACCAGGCTGAGTCAGTTCCTCACAGTGAACACCTGTAGATCAAAAATACAAAGTTATTAGATGTATCATCTTGAACATAAGCATAAAATTGCGCTCTGACTGAGTGAAACATGTTGTTTACTGAGTAACTCACAGGATGCAGCTGCCAGCAGGATCAGTAGAGATGTAGAGAACATGGTTGGTGTTGAAGGTAGACCTATTGTGGGTTCTCTGTTCTCCACAGCTTAATAAAGAGTGTCATCTAAATAGAGAGAGATGGAGGGGGGTGGAGGTGGGAGTTGACTTATTTGCTTATTTACTGACCAATGAGAGTCAAACATATTTAAAACATTGAGTAGAGGACAGTAGTTCAATGCAGTTCATTCTTCTGTGGAAATATTTCTCTCCCTGTTTTTAACCTATAAAATCAACAATGTTTCCATATAAAATAAAACAAAATCACAATGTGTATATTTTCAACTCACAGAAATGCTCTAAAGTCACTTGGAATAAAATCTCTTTACACTGACTTACATTGAAAGTTAAGAGTGTTTTTACCTTCTCCTGTAAAGTTACTATTTTGGAGATACTTGTTTTTCTTTGGACAGTGACATTATTTACCTGAGTGTTCAGGAACTGTTACTGTATCATCTGTGATTTTCTGTTTCACTGGGGTATAAATATGAGGTGACACAGAGGGCAAATTTCCATCATTCATCAACATGGGGAAGATCATAGAACACAAAAAGGAAATGAGATAAAAATGTGTGAGTTCATAAAGTTTATAGTTACAGTTTTTTTTTCCCCCATTTTAAAGAGTCTCTAAAACTAAAATTAAACAACACAATGTCAACAAACTCTATGGAAGGCATGTCAGAAGAAAGCCTCATTTTGTCTAAACACAAATATAAATACCTGAACTTACATTAAAAGTTGTTGGAGCATTGATGTGAACTTGACTGCTAGTCAGATAAGAAAACAGAGCTTTCTGACAACAAACATTACTGTATCTATTTTAAAACAGAAATGAGAAACAGGCTATTAGGAAGTTTAAAGATCTATAAAATTGAAAAATCTGTAGAAACTTTGTGATTTTGTAGTTTGTATATTGATACTGTGGTTTTACACAATTACAAGAATCATAATTTTATGCGAATGTTGAAGATAAAGTATTAATAACATTTATATTCAACTGTACCTTCAAAGTAAAGAAGTCAAATAAAATAACTTAATAACTTAACTCAACATAATAACCCAATTTAACAGTGACGAAATAGAAATTGTCCATTAGTCAAAAGCAAGGTTTACTAGATTTTGAAGAACAACGGATTCATTTTTTTAAAAGCCCAATAAACAGAGATCAATTCATAATGAGTGTGGATTGCTTTTCTTATCTTCCGAGAGTATTGTCGATTTTTTTTTTTAATAAATATATTTATTCTTAGTATCGTAAACTGTTTTCCTCCATTTGCAATACAATGTATTGTATCTGCAGTGTGTTTTTACAAGGGGAGAAGATCTTTCAGTCTGCTTAGTCAGTTAGTGTGTGTGGTTTTAGTAAAGCTGCTCCATCAGATCCATCACTGTGGATCTCGAGCGCAGTAATAAACAGCAGTGTCCTCTGCTCTCAGACTCTTGGCCTCTAAGAACTGTGTAATTGTAGAAACGTCCTCAGTCATTTTGAAGTGGTCTTTCATTGAATCTGAATATGTTGCTGAATTTGTGCCAGTGCTCATCAATCCAATCAGTTCCAGAGCTTGTCCTGGTTTCTGTCTTATCCAGCCCATGTTGTAGCTCGTCATGCTGTACCCACTAATTTTACAGGAGATCTTCACAGCTTCTCCAGGTTTCTTCACCTCAGCAGAAGACTGGTCAAGTCGGATCTCAGCACTTATAAAATCTACAAAATAGAACAAATAACTTTCAAAAACCACTCAAAGTGTATTAAAATATACTGTCATTAAAATGTTTTAGAAGTCTAACATACCTTGTGTTAATATCAGTATAGGAATGCAGTACTGAGCAACACTAAACCCCATAATGAAACTCTTTGATGACTGACAGTTTACTGATTCAGTTCTGGGGTATGAAGTAATATGAGCATTAGGTGAGTAATGAGATGATTTTTATGTGGAGACTAAAATACAAATATAGATTTACATAAAGACCCTTTGACCAATAGAGTTAGTTCAGTAATATTAGCATCCATCGGCATATTTTGCATGAATTAAAGATGAGGCCAGTTATCGCCCCCTAGTGTTTGCTTTAAATACTGTTAAGAAATGCTAAGAATTTTAAACTATTATCTTTTAATTTCTAAGCTCATTATTCATTAACAGCAGAATTATTAAACAACTACAATAAGACAAATTTGTTTTGAAAGAGTGAAAAATTGAGGGGCACCAAATATCAATTTTTCAGGTGTATGTTTTAAAAACTGTTGAAACATTGAGTGTCTTCAAATAAGACTGGATTTACTTCAGTGCAAAAGCTTCTGAGACTGACCAGATTAACGTAAATAAAATACTGACAAATAATGTTCAGCTTTTTGTCATTTCCACAATTACAATTGCTTTAAAGAGCTAATAGTAGATAGTAAGATCAAGTTTCATGAATAAAAATGATTTCAAATGTATCTTGACTCTGGCTATCAGAGATTTAGCACTGAACATGGACCCAAGAGGAGAGACAATCCATAAAAATATAGCTGCCTTATGCTCATCTTATAGTTCAGAGTAATAAACCACAGAATAAACCACAGTTAACATACATGTTTCAGTACATAGACACTGTATAATAACCAATTCAAAAAGATACCTGTACATGCAAAAAAACACATTCATGTAGAACATTTTTGAGTTATTGAATATCAATATATCTACATATGTCTGTGTAGTATAAAGTCTTGTTAAAATGATTGGTTCTATTATTATTATTACCACAGTTAACATACATGTTTCAGTACATAGACACTGTATAATAACCAATTCAAAAAGATACCTGTACATGCAAAAAAACACATTCATGTAGAACATTTTTGAGTTATTGAATATCAATATATCTACATATGTCTGTGTAGTATAAAGTCTTGTTAAAATGATTGGTTCTATTATTATTATTATTATTATTATTATTATTATTATTATTATTATTATTATTGATTGCTAAAATCATGCTTATCTAGTGTTAAAATTCCCACATATTTTTCATTCTAACAGATTCTGTCCTTGTAATGTTATTGTGTTGGTTCCAGTGTCTCTGGAGATGCTGAACTTGTGTCTTAGTTTACGACTGTAAGCTGTATCCCCACTGGTATCAATATATCCAATCCACTCTGGAGCTTTTCCTGCAGGATGTCGGATCCAAGCTGTATGTATGACTGTAACAGGATACCAAACCTTGCAGTTGATGGTCAAACTCTGGCCTGGACTGACCAGCATGAAACCAGGTTGAGCCAGTTCAACACCTGTAGATCAGAAAGTAAAGTTGTTAGATGTATCATCTTGAACAAATACAAAATATAAATTATCCTTAGACTGAGCGAAATGTGTTCTATCCTGAATAACCCACAGGATGCAGCTGCCAGCAGGAGCAGCAGAGATATAGACAACATGGCTTGTGTTGATGTTGGACCTGCAGGGTCTTCTCTGTTCTCCACAACTTAATAGAGGGTGCCTCAGCTTCTAAATAGAGAGAGATCCAGGGAGGGCAGCTTGCGTTTGCTTGTCTAATGACGTGAAAGGCAAAGCTATCATAGACACTGGATAGAGGACAGTAGTTTAGTATGGCCATGTTAAAAAATGCTTCTGTGCCAGATACAAACGTCATTTTCATTACAAATAAAAACAGTACAATGTTTGTATTTTCATATTGCTATGAACACTAATTCCAGCATGTCCACGTACGCAGTGAAGGAGAAATCTTTTCAAAGCGTCTTAAAGTGTACAACCACATATAGAAAACAAATGAAATTGATAATGAACATTCCGGTGGAGCATATTCCATTGTTTAATTTAGATCTGTTAACCACATTGCTCTAAATATTTAAACAGCTTAATCACACTTATGTCCTCTGATATCAAAATGATGTGACACAGAGGCCAAATACCAATAGTCATGTATCAACATAGGGAAGATTAGAGAACACACAAAGAAAATATATAAACGTGTGTCTACCTTGATAAATTAGATGATCACTGCAAAAAAATAAAAATCTACTTCTGAAAATCCCACATCCTTCATTACAACAGTTAAAACCACCAGAGCTGTAGTGAACCAGCATATAGGAGGATACAAGTGTTTTTTGCCCTCAACCAAAGTGAGGAGGATGGTTAGAGATTCTCCTAAACCACAATTAGATGCCTCCACAAGGACAATAACCTACATGGAAGGTGTGTCTAATTTAAGGCTTTTATTTTTTCTAAACCTAAATGTTGGTACATAATGTCCTGCTGGATCTATGAGTGGAGCTGAGTTCTGTGGTCAGATGAGACAGCAGAGATTTCTGACAGCAAAGCCTAACGGTGAGTTTGTTGTAAAAAAGAAGGATGGTCATACATCATTGGACCAAATCCATCCACAGCTAAGTAAGGTGAAGGATCTGGATGCTTTGGAGGTCCAAAGGCCCTGGTAACCTCGCAAAGATTAGGAGCATCATGGACTTTCTGGAGTATAAAAGATTGTAAATGAAAATGAAAACTAGGTCATGGTTGGATCTTCCAGCAGGACAACAATCCAAAATATAAGTCAACAGCCACAGTTACCACTGGGACATGGACATCCCAGATTCCTGACCTAAACCCCATTGAAATCCTGTGGTGTGAGCTGAGTAGGAGAGTTTAAAAGAGGACTGGAGAGGTTCTGTAATGAGGAGCAATCTCAGATTACTTGCTCTGTATTCTCCAATCTCATCAAGCTTTATAGGTGGTGAGTGATGGCTATTATGTTCACAAAATGCAGGAAGGCCAATAACTGACACATGGTGTTGTTTACAAATATGTTTTTTGATAAGGGTTGGTCTAAAGATGGCATGAACTATGTAGCTGACTGTCTAGGCAGCTGAAGGAGATCTTTCCAATAATATGAACAATATTAAACTAGCTTGCTATCTGAGAGAGAGGCGCCCTCTGCTGGACTACAAATGAATCACGAAATTAGTCATATCTTTCAGAGTGATATGCAATCTAACTCTGTGTTTATCAGTCATGTTGGAGATATTCTAAATGTTATAATAAGTGAGTGCAAAGTCCTACTGTAGTGTTAATGCTGTGAGTCTTTAGTGTGATCATTTTTTCAAAAGAATACAAATAAATTTCAGAAATTTAAAAACATAATCCTGTCTTTCAGTGATGAATAAGAGTAATTATGGTTATAAATGGTTGTGGTTGATTGTTTTGTTCGCTCATCCAGTTTGAATGAAACTTGTCTCTTACTAACAGAGATGTTGATGGGTTTTGTACAGAGCTCCTGCACTGCTGTGTCAGTCTTTGCACAGTAATAAATAGCCGTGTCTCCAGTCTCCAGGCTGCTGATGTCTAAGAACAGCACGTTACTGCTTGTGTCTCTGGAAATTGTAAAACGACTCTTAAAGGAAGCTCCAGTGTCTATAGATCCACCACCCCAAATGATCCTGATCCACTCCAAGGCTTTCCCTGGAGGCTGTCTGATCCAGACTGTACCAATGTCAGTGAGAAGATAGCCAGAAACCTCACAGGACAGCCTCACTGATCCTCCAGGAGGCTTCAACTGAGCAGGAGACGAGCTCAGACTGATTCCATGAACATCTGAGAGGAGGAAACAGGTCACAGAGAACATTAAACACACTGCATTTCATCTTAAACTGAAATCTACAGTGTATAAATGAGACTAAAGTCCACTTACATGGTAAGAAGGGCAGCAGCAGCAGAGAAGTCCAGCTCATCATTGCTCTGAAAGTATCTGTGATCATGTGGTTTGTTAGAGGATGTATGAGTGTGGATCTGTATTATATACACATTGTGGCAGTGTCTGACCTGCAGTGGAGCTGGACTGGATATTTACATACAGCTCATTTCAGATGATTAAGGAGGAACAATCAGAGATGTTTCCTGGATGAACTATGACGTTTTACAGAGCAGTGATGTGATTCTGAACAAGACGTTTGGCATGTCTGATATTTGGAAACCGTGTGATGTGACATAGAAGCTAGAACCTGAATGGTAAAGTGTACTGGGTAACACTTTATAATCAACAGTCACTTACAAATAGTAACTCACTCATTATCTAATATTTTGTATTTTTTAAACAGTAATTGAACTGCTACTATTCAAATAATGAACCATTTCTTCAGTGAATTTATAATGTATTAATAATTTAGGTATTTGGTGCATTTAACCGCAAAATGATACAACTCAAAATATTGTTGTTATTGTAATAAGTGTAATAAGTATATTAAACAACTTAAAATGATTCCTAAACATAGTGAACAACTGCTTATTAATCATCCAATTACAGTTTTACCTCACAAAATTGTCAGTATTTTAAAGAGCTGTACATGCTTTTCCAAAGTGTATCATAATTAAATGTAATAAATAATGTGATACATGTTCATAAAAATACATATCATAAAGTTCAGTCACAGCTTTATAATGTATATATATATATATATATATATATATATATATATATATATATATATATATATATATATATATAAAACCATTTTTAAATAATAATTTTTAGGTTGCGGTTTATTAGGGTGTGTTATTATAAGTATTGTTTAGCTGGTTGGCTAGTAGGTGCTATTTTAACACTTCAAGATGTAAATAAATGAATGCTTTGAATGGACATGGACATTTTGAACGGAAATGATATTTCAGATTTATTAAAGTTGTCAATGTTCTTTTTCCCTAGTATTAGCCAAGACTAACTACACTATAAAAGACCAAGACTAACACTGGAATGAGCGGTTCTGCAAAATAAGCTTGCAAATAAGGTTAAAACTAGATTTCATAAAGATGTTTACAATATTTTTGTACACAAACCTCAGATGTGGCTACAGTTTGTTATTTAATTACAGTCAGTTTCAAAAGTGTGAACACCCTAGTGGATTTAGATGATTTTCCACGTGAAAATAAGTTAACAGTCTGGGTTCAATTCCCCGGCCAGGCAACCGGGGTCCTTTCTGTGTGGAGTTTGCCTGTTCTCCCCGTGTCTGCGTAGGTTTCCTCCGGGTGCTCTAGTTTCCTCCCACAGTCCAAAGACATGCAGTCAGGCTGACTGGACAAGGAATATTGCCTCTAGGTGTGAATGTGTGTGTGATTATATATATCTGTGTTTCTGCCCTTTGATGGATTGGTGACCTGTCCAGGGTGTTTTATGCCTTCTGCTCGATGAACGCTGGGATAAGCTCCAGCCTTCCCCGCGACCCAGAAGGATAAGCAGTTTAGAAGATGGATGGATGGAAATAAGTTAACATGTTTCCTTCAGAGAGAAATGACCTTGTTCTACTAATTCTAGTGCACTGGCATTTATTTAGTCTCACATATTGGAAAAACAAAATATAAAATGTTCCATAACTTTTCAATGGGTAACATTTGATCTTTGTTTTTTCTTTTCTTTCCTTCCCTGCATAACAGCCCAGTGATGTGAAACTCTGCTGCTCTGGCTTTAGGAGAACAATAGGCAGGTCTGTTTTTTTGAATGAAGGGCTCCCCCTACTGGAATATAAATAAAACATGATGCAATTAATTTCACAGCATCACTTACATTGATATTGTGTCTGTTTGTTGGAGATGACTTAAACATCACACTCAGTCAGTGTCAATGAATTCAAAACTTACTGAATGTCTGTAATATACATACTGATGTGGTACTTCAGATATATATTACTTTACACCTTTCAGATAGTGAGAAATAATATGTATGAAAAAGTACAAATATATACATCTTTTCAGCTGTGCATGTTTTTAAAGCATTTGACATACAATGCTGTGCTAGTTTTAGAAACCTGATGAAATAAGAATTAAAATATCTATTTGTCCAGTAATTATTAATTTGTTTAACTCAGAAAATCACTGATAGTTAACCAAATACAAATAACATTAATATGACAAGCAGTGATTTTACATATGCAGCCCATTTGTTAACCATTTCTAAACCTCTTCTTGTGAAAACACAGTATTAATTATAATTTTCATCCAATACCTGGTTTGGCTAATCAGTGTTTCATCGTGTTAAATCAGGTCTGCTGGTGATGGAATTCAAGAAATCCATGTGACGGCTGGAGGCGTCCAGGAGAAATCTGAACCCTGTACTTTAAATTTGCTCACAAGACATTAACTACTTTTGTCAAAATACACATTTCTTGTTACTTTTACTGTATTTATGTTTATTTACATCAGCGAAAATAGGTGGTGTTTTACACTTGAAATCACACTTATTGCCAAGATGAATGCTCAAAATATTGTGCTTAGGTGCTCAAAACTTTTTCACAATACTGTATAAATGACTCACTTAGTAAAACATACCAAATGACTAATGAATAGAAGATTAACCAGACTGGCTCCCTGCCTCAGGTAGGAGGCATCTTGCCCTGATAGTGAGGAAAGAAGCTCCTTTAAAAATTTCCTTTTTTTGCAAAATAAAACAAAATGATCCGTTGTTCCAGTTTATTTACTCTAACTGTGAATAAGTTCATGCATCATCATTCTGTTCATGATAAACTCAAACACAGATATAATTTAGCTTTACCATGAGTAGAAATTGGGCCTCATTCACAATATCTTCTCCATTTTTTTCTTGAATGTGTTCTTGAGAAAGGTCCGAAGAAAAAGTGACATCAGATTAATGGCGTGTTCTTAAAGCACAGAATCATTCTCAACTTTGATCTCTTGAATGTGTGTCGGTTCTGTTCTTACCTAAGAACAAATCCAAAACAAGAGAACAATCTCAGAATAAATTTCTTCTTAAGAACAGTTGGTGAATGACACCCTTTGTTCTAAAATGAGGCAGTTTCCCACATTTTCCCCAACTTTGCATGAAACTAATCATAATTTCACAATTATGAAACTTACTTTTTGAAGTTGAAAGTAGGATTCTCGTAATTTAGGTTGTGTAGATACAAATTTCTCACTTTGCTGGTTGCATTTTCCATGCATAAATATTAAAAATGACACAAGCTATTTAAAGTCCTCTTCAAATATAAAGCTGAACAGTCTGACTCTTGAGTGTCAGCTCTGGGTTTTTGTAAGCCGTGTTCATTAGTTAGTGTCACTGTGCGTCCTGCACAGTAATACACAGCTGTGTCTTCAGTCTGCAGATTCTGTCCTTGTAATGTTACTGTGTTGGTTCCAGTGTCTCTGGAGATGCTGAACTTGTTTTTCAGTTTATCACTGTAAAAAGTGCTCCCACCACTATTGATCAGTCCAATCCACTCCAGAGCTTTTCCTGCAGGCTGGCGGATCCAGCCTGTACTAGAGCTTGTAACTGAATATGAAACCTTGCAGTTGATGGTCAGACTCTGGCCTGGACGGACCACCATGGAACCAGGCTGAGTCAGTTCCTCACAGTGAACACCTGAAGATCAAACATACAAAGTCACTAAATGTGTGACCTTGTACATCTTCTCTGTTCTCCACAGTGTAATAGAGAGTGTCTTCTAAATACAGAGAGATTCAGGGAGGGAGCTGGTATTTGCTTATCTAATGACCCATGAAGGCCAAACCTATTTAAGACATAGAGTCAAGGGCAGTGGTTTAATTCAACATATAAAAGCCACACCATGTACAGAGGTCAGGAACTGTCTGAAAGCCACCATCTGTGATTTCCTGTTTCACTGTGGGACAAATATGAGGTAACACAGAGACCAAATTACCTTCATTCATCAACATGGGGACAATCAAAAATTAAATAAACATTGAGCAAAATTTAAGTCAGTTTAAAACAACCAGAGCTGTAGTGAACCTGCCTATAAGAGGACGCAAGTGTGTTTTGCCCCCAAGCCCAGTTTAGAGTTCATGATTATAGCATCTCTAAATCCATAATTAGATACCACATCAATGCCTACAAACTATATGGAAGGCATAACAGAAGGAAGCCTTATTTTGTAAAGACTTGTTTATTAAAAGCTGCTGTAATTTTGACAGGAAACAGATTCTATACGAGACAACAGAGCTTTCTGACAACACATATTTTCTGTTTCTATTTTAGGATAGAAAGTAGAAATAGGCTGTTAGGAATTATTCATTTTACCAAGTAGAAAACTCTATAGAGATCTTAAGCCATTGTGTAGTTTGAGAGTATATATTGATATTGTGGCTTTATACAAAAGCAACAAGAATCATTTAAGTGAATGTTAAGAATAGCTTAGTAATAACATTTATTGTACTTTGTATCCTAAAATAAAGAAGTAAAAGATAACCATAACATGTATACATCTGTATATACATCAGTCAGGCATTAAATTATGACCACCTCCTTGTTTCTATGCTCATTGTCCATTTTTATCAGCGTTTATGGTTTTAAACGCTGGAGTTAATGCATGAGTGCTAATTCACCCTTTAAAATCTGATGATTGGCACTTAGACTGCTAGTCACCATAGCAATGCAGACAATAATCTTGCCTAGCTAGTGGCAAAGAGAAAGATGTAAGACGAACATCAATAATTTGGAGACGGATGGACTTTTAACAAGAAACTGTCAAACACTAAAAAGTGTAGCCACAGTCAGTTTCACATTTGAATTTTCCCATTCCACCTTAAATGGTGGAGCAGTTAGCTACATTCTGGTGCCTCAGGTGCTATTTAAGGTGAAATGGGAACACTCAAACAAGAAGCTGGTGAATGAGATGCTGACTTCAGCCTCGTAAAAAGTCAAACGCTGAGAGAACTTTTTACAAGAAACTGCTTCTTTTGCAGAAAAGTTTCCTGCTGGAGATGCGAG